CTGTAAAGCTTCTTGGGAGCGGAAAGTCTCACGTTTCTCCCACAAAGTGGCTGGCTGGGTAGGCTTGAACTACCGACCCTGTGGTTACCAGTCCAGTAATGTATCATACATTCACTTTGACCCAATGACTCAACCTCCCTTGTGCAGTCCATCAACCCCTGCCTGGATCCCCACAACAGCCTCTCAAATCCTTCCACTTCGAATCCTGTTCCCCTTGAACTAATTTTTCAAGAAAATTCACTCTCTTGCTTAAAACCCTTCAAAGTCCCCGGCCCACGAGCAAAACTGCTTAAGACTGTAATCAATGCAATGAAACGATGGTGGAAAGCTGATGTTCTCCCATGAAAGAACTATCATTCAGTTCACAATAAAAACTTAAAAGAAAAACTCCTTAATATAGCTGCCAAGTATTCAGCTTCTTTCAGATAGTAGTTGAATTGACAGGAGCCCTTTATTAAAGAAATCCTCTCACCCTTTCAGGTTCTGGAAAAGGGTAGGACTAAGGGAAATGAACTGACCAGAACTCCAAAATTCACGGTTAGGATTTACCTTCCCAGAATCCAGATGGGCTTATCATAAAAAATGAATAATATTCTGAGGAAGTAAGGCCTAAACTGCAACCTTGGTACACTGCTCACCCTGTGGCCTCTTGGCTTTCTTTTTTTTTGAATCTATCCAAGTTTATGAGGCTTTCTACTCCCGTAAAGATTTATACCCTCGGAAACCCTGTACAGGGTCGCTATGGGTCGGAACCGACTCGACGGCACTTAACAACAACAACAATCCAAGTTTTAAAGGAAAACAAAACAAAACCCAGCAGCAATTCCATCAAACCCAGAGGATAGCAACCTCTTACTTTCTTTTGATTTTTGTGTCACTTGTTTGAAAAACACTAGAAGCCGACATGAGGTTGTCTATATATTGTCCAAGAACTTGGTTTTTTGATTTTAGCTTCAGCTTTTCTTCCTTAACTGCATCTACTCTTGCATAGAGATCTTTAAGGGTATGTTGGAGTTCTAACATTTGATTAATAAGTTGTGTTTTTTCCTCCAGTGCCACCTGATTTTCAGCATCAACTGCATCCATGTCAGCATTCATTATCTTGGGTAACAAACTTTTGGGCCTTGAATGGAAAGTCCTTGAGAATGGTCTGCTGTTGGAGGTGCAGGGAGGGGGAGGGATGGGAAGACACCTGAGGCCCACACACTTGGACCAACAGACACCCACGTTCTCTTTTAAGATGGTTTCTTCTTCTCGCTCCTCTGCCCCCTCTACTCTCTCTACGTACCTCCTCTCTTCTCTGCCCTCCATCACCTCCAATCCACACTCACATCTCCTACGGCTGACCAGAGATACAGTGACATCTGATCCAAGAAAATTCAGCCTACAGGCTGTGCTGAGACAAACAAATTATGAGTGAGATTGATAAAAGCCTCAACAATTGATGGAAATTTCAGTGGATTTAGCAGCAAAGATAAAACAGAGTAAAGGTCTTACTTAACTCTCTCTATACTAGTATGTGGAGTCCTGGTGTGGCACTGTACGATAAGCAACAGACAGCTAGCTACAAGGTTGGCAGTTCAAACCCAGCAGTCACTTCTCAAAGACCTTATGCAGGATCACTATGAGTTGAAACTGGATCAGGGCACTTTACAATAACACTGTTGCTATTAGTTGTTGTTAGGTGCCGTTCAAGCACCTCTTGGCTTTCTTTTAAAAAGCCGAAGTGGGTGTCTCAGTGGAGTCGGAACACAGCCTTGTGGGCTTCACTGCAGGACCTCCCTCCTCCTCCCGGACAGCTGCTTCCGCCTCTCCGGTTCCCTTCCTCTCCCCTGCAACTGCCTTTACAGTAAAAGTCATCTTTTAACATCATCCAGTATACTTTCTTCCCCCCTTTGGCATCTCTCATCACCCAGCCTCCTCCTGCTTGGGCACCCTTCCCATAACATGGTCTCAGAATTCCCTACGACTATCTTAGCTTGGAGAGTCCTGGTGTGGCGCTGTGGGTTAATGCGCCAGACTGCAAAGCCGTTTGACCGCAAGGTCGGCGGTTCAAGCTCACCAGCTGCTCCTCAGAAACCCTACACAGGGTCGCTATGGGTCGGAATCGACTCAACGGTCCTTAACACAACCTAACCTTGCACTTCCTACTCCCAATGTGTGCGTGCTCCAATGAGACCAGGCAGCAAAGCCCTTATTCACATCACACCCCGGTACCTAAAACACCCACAGGCCTTGAGTCGTCTGCAGGGAGGACCAATGTCGTCCTTCGCACTGGAAGCTCCGAGGGGCCCAGAGCAGCGGACTCATTCCGGAGACCGTCTTTCTGGCGCTTCAAGGAAAACCCGAGGGGCATCGCCAGCCCCCGGGCGCGGAAAGCCTCTCGGCCTGACCCCTGGTCTTCCCACTCCAACAGTGCCTGACCCCTGACCTTCTCGGCACCCTCAACTCTCCTCCCTAGGCCACTCTTGCTCCGTCTTACATTTTCTTGGCCACATCAGTCTCCCGGAACTGTTCCTTCACCATGGTGACGGCTGTGGGGGGCCCCAACTCGGGACTCCGGGAGCTGGACTACAGAAACTACGCTCCCCGTAGTGCCCGAAACGCTTCTGCACACGCCGGCTAACACAGCTGCAGCATCCTCCCGGCCACCGTCGAGCGTCCCACGTGTCTGCTTCCTCTTCCGCGATTTGCCGGCGCGTCTGTCAAGAGAGGCTTTGGACTCACAGCTTAGTGGTCCGTCCCTGCACTGCCACCTCGCGGCACCGTCTTGGAACTACACCGAGCTCTGAGTTTTTAAAAAAGAATCCGACTTCCGACGGTTTCTCCAGGTCTTCAGACTCCTGCAAGGCTTCAGGGCTGTTAGGCAGCCATCGCGCTATGAAAATCAATACCATCTAGATCCAGAGCCTCTATTTATTGAAGGGGAAGGTGGAGACTAAAATGAACCTGCCCAAGGATCCGAGGACACCTTCTGAAGGGCGCTAAGAAAAGCAACATAGCGGACAACACGGCCCCGCAAGCACCTCTAGTTCGTAGACGTATATTGAAAATACCTTTTGTCAGGAAGAACGTTGGTGTTTCCGGAGAATAATCACCACGCCGTCAGTGTTTTGGTGAAACCTCAACTGCAAGGCCTCAGACCAGTCATCTGGGATTTCATGTAGTTGGAGCATTCGTTATGACCCTGGGCATATGCAAATAACTAAGGAGTCCTGGTTGTTGTTTTAAGTGTTATCGAGTCCGGTTCCGACCCATAGTGACCCTGTATAGTGTCCAAGGAGCGGCTGGTGAGCTTGAACCGCCAACCTTGTGGTTCAAACCAGCGCATTAACCCACTGCGCCACACCAGGACTCCAAAAGGAGACTTGATAGCATAGTGGATTTAGAGGTGGACTGCTAACTGCAAGATACGCAGTTCGAATCTACCAGCAGCTTCGCTGGAGAAAGTTGAGACTTTCTGCTTTCGGACTCTTAGTGTGGCCCTGTAAGCACTGAACTGTGAACCACAAAGTCAGGTCAGCGGTTCAAACCCATCAGATGCTCCTCGGAAACCCTGTCCAGGGTCACTATGAGTCTACATTGACTTGTTCATACTTAACAGCAAAGATTTACAGCCTTGGAAACCCTATACAGAGTCACTATAAGGCGGATATGGCTGGGTGGTACACAATCACCACCACTCCCACCCCACCCCCAGGAATTGTAATCCCATGGAAGACTGTGAGGAAGTGAAGAAGGTTGGTATCCTTCAGAATGTAAAATGATTTGGGTTGAGGAGTTCCACGGCATTTGTCACGCTGATCAGTGTTCTGGAAATACGAAACATGAACATGCAGGTTACAGGATAGTTTCTTTTGGTAAATAAATAATTCAAAATAAAAGACTTGAAAAAAACGAAGCTTAAATTCTTGATTACAACGAAGGAGAGTGAAAATTGAATCACAGTGAGTTTGGGAAACAAGATAAAGGAGCCATGCGAAATGATCATTTCTGTATTGAAGAAATACAGTGTTTGCTCAGTGTTTACCGGAGCAGAAAGCCTCGTCTTTCTCCCGTGGAAAAGCTGGTAGTTTCGAACTGCTGACCTTAAAGTTTGCAGCCCGATTCGTAACCACTACGCTACCAAAGCTCCTTAGTTGGATATATATCAGGAGACTTCTTACATAGTTGTACATATATCAGGATAGACTAATTCTTGGAGAAGATAAGCTAGAGGGTCAGAGAAAAAGAGGAAGACCCTCAACAAGATGGAGTAGCACAATTGCTTCAAATATTGTGCGAATGATGTAGGACCCGACAATGTTTCTTTCTGCTGTATATGGGGTCCCTGTGAGTTGGAGCCCATTTGCCAACACTCAGCAACCAAACCAAAACCAAACCCAGTCAAAATCTATATGGACGCTGAACAACCCTAACAGGGCAGAGTAGAACTGCCCTTTAAAAGTCTCCAAGATTAACTCAATGTAGAAGCCAACTGCCACCTCTTCCTCCCAACCAAGTGACTGGGGTTCCAACCGCTGATCCACTGGTTAGCAGCCAAGTACTTTAACCATTGTGCTATCAGGACTCCTTACGACAAGAACAGCAACTTAAAACGATATAATTAGCTAATTAAAAGGGACCATGCACTTGCATAAATGTAGTAGGCCAGAGCTGTTCCTTCTCCGGATTGGCTAGTCGAGAATCTCAGAGGTGTGGCCAAAGGCAAGGGAGGTCGTCTTCAGCACTTTCAGTCTGGCATTGATGTGGACGGCCCCATCGCTCGGGCCACGCCCCAGCGACGGTTTAATATGGGGTCCTTCCCTGCGCGTTGATATGATTGGCCGAGGGAAAGAAGCCTTCTTTTTCTTCCCGGCTGCTTGAGTGTCTGCCGCCATCATGGTGAGTCTTCCTGGGCTTTGCAGACATCTGCTAAATATCCGAGCCATCCTTCGTTCTCTGGTCTCCCAGTCTCCGCGATAACTGCCCAAAGCTCCGTTGCTCTTCGTTGGCCGTGTATGACTTTGACCAGTTACCGAGGGCCCTGGAGCCGCCGGCGGGGAGTCGCGGTTGGCGGGGCTGCCCTGCCAACCCCGGACCCTGGGGTCCCAGGTGCTGAAACTGCGCGAGTTGTACCTGCGCTTGTCAGCTTCGTGGAGGACAGTGGATGGACTAGGGTCTTAAGTCACTAGGTCCCTTTTCCTCCAACAGTCCTAAGTCGGGATCGGTGTCTTTCTGGTGATGGTGGCCCGAGGGGTGAAGAAAGTGGCGAATTATAGCCAGTGGAAGCATTCCCACGTGTAAGCCGGGAAATTGACGTTGAATGGACTTTCTGTTTCATCTTGGGAAGCGCAGACCCTGGGAAGGGAGCCCGTATTGCTCTAAATGCTCACTAGTTAGCTTCATCACTTAGGTTAAATACCGTTCCTAACTCCGAACTGGCAAGCCAATCTGCTTTATGACCCTTCACGTCCGAGATTTGAGTATTGTTGATGGGAACTTAGTTTGCTGTAATGTTTGAAATCCTGAAAAGCTACCGAGTCATCTGTGCAGTGAAAGCCTTTTGTTTTTGTCAAGTTTTGTGTATTTTTGTTTGCTTGTTTTAAGTCAACATAAGCTTGGCACATGCCTGCTTTTTTTGTAGTTATTTCTCGGGTAAAAGTCGGTTCAGAAGTGGATTGTTTTCTTGGGCTTTATTTTAGAATTTCTCACTTAATACGTTGCATGCAGGCAGGACAAATTATGGTTTGTAATGTCTGTAAGCCACCGTAGTTTTACTCTGGAGAAGTAGTTTTTCAGAGGCTCTGCCTCTAGGGTGATAGCAAAGTTTGGAGATATTTTTGACTCTTAGAACTGGGGAGGTGGGGTGGGCACCTAGGGCATTTAGTGGATTTGGTGGGCCTTTTCTGACTAAAAGAGATGCTACAGGGCAGAGGAGAACTGCTACAAAGGGTTTCGTAATGTGATTTTGTCGGATTAGCACTAGACTGCTAATATAAGCGTTGCTGGGAGTCGGAATCGACTTGAGTGAATGTAACCATTTTTACCTGAGCAGATCGCCAGATCTTTTCCCTTGCTGAATTGCCTTTTGGTTGCCACCAAGGCTCTTTAAAGTTGCAGCCCATATTGTTGCCACACCAGGACCCTGTTGCTGTTTTTGTTAAGTACGGTGGACTCATAGTGACTCTGTACAGGGTTTCCGAGGCGGTAAATCTTTACGGGAGCAGAAAACCTCATCTTTCTCCCGCGGAACAGCTGGTACTTTCCAACTGCTGACCTTGTGCTTAGCAGCCTGATTCGTAACCACTCCACTACCAAGAGCTCCTTGTTGTTGTTAGGTTCACTATTAAAAATCTCACATATACAGGGCAGCCCCCTCCACCTGGTCTGGAATGTCAGTGCTAACCATAACTTGTCAAATGCCCTTGAGTCAGTTACGACTGTACAGGTTTCCAAGGAGTAGCTGGTGGATTTGAACTGTCAACCTTACAGCGCCACACCAGGACTCCTCCCATAACTTAGAAGTAATATATGTAGATTGGCAGAAACGTTTTCTTGGTACTGATATTATTAGGCATGTCCTATGGGTTTGGCCGCTGTGCCAAATGGGGTGAAAGATGGGAATTTGCCTTTTTTCTTTTTATTGATGCTACTCCTCCATTTTTTTAAAAGGAATCATCCAGCAAGTGCAGGATTGGTTGGTGCACAGCTTAATTTGTCTGCCTTCAGTGGGGTAGGAGCCTGTCAAAATGTGGCACAGTGCAGGGCCTTTTTGTGGCCTATGTACCTCAGTACACCTTTGTTATTGTTCATCTTGTGTCTGTGATGTTCTGTGCCTTGGAGTCAGTCCGAGGAGTGACTGGTGAGCTTGAACTACTGACATTGCAGTTCAAACCCACCTTACAGTCTAGTGTACCAACCTGCAGTGTCACACCAGGACTCCTTTGTGATAATTGTCTATGTTTTTTTTAGAAGTGTCTCTTAATGACAGCAAACCTTGTACCTGGTAGAGCAGTTTTGTCCAGTAAATTTCCAGCAATGATGGAAATTTTCTTTATTTTTGCTGTCCAATTTGAAATGGAGCTATTGCAATTGGGGAACTGCATTTTAAATGTATATGTATAAGTATGTAAGTCTATATGTGTAAGTATATAAGTATATAGATGTCCTGTAATGTTAGTCATGTATTCCTACCACTGAATTAGTCAATGCAGTTCTAGATCTTGGAAAATTACAGCAAGGTGTCCCTTACCCAAAAGAAGTAGTTTTATTATTAACTTGTGTGTCGTTTCAGAATGACACGGTAACTATCCGGACAAGGAAGTTCATGACCAACCGACTGCTTCAGCGGAAACAAATGGTAAGGGAAGGCACAGCTCAGTTTAGATAGCGGGCCTTTACTTCTTCTGTTAGGAGAAATACTAAACCTGATGTCTCCTTTTAGGTCATTGATGTCCTTCACCCCGGGAAGGCAACAGTACCTAAGACAGAAATTCGGGAAAAACTTGCCAAAATGTATAAGACGACACCAGATGTCATCTTTGTGTTTGGATTCAGAACCCATTTTGGTGGTGGCAAGACTACTGGCTTCGGCATGATTTACGATTCCTTGGATTATGCAAAGAAAAATGAACCCAAACACAGACTTGCAAGAGTAGGTGCCTCTTCACAGTCGCTGCAGACAGTTCAGTAGCATAGTGCTCAGGAAGGAGTCTAAATGGTCAACGTGTAGACACGAGGGGTCCGAGGAAACGTTAGTTGATAGATGCACAGATGGAGGTTTAGTAGCATTTGAGGTAGCATTGAAGCTGGAGCTGGACAAAGTAGTGCTTGTGGAGATTGGGGCTGCAGTGAGGCCAAGTGCCTACCTGGGAAACAGTGGGATGGATTTGGAGAGGTAGTTTGGGCCAGATTCAGTGGTAAACTTTAAATAAATACCAGGCCACTGCATTTAGATTCAATTTCATAAGAAGCCAGGAAACAGGACACATTGCTGAGCATTTACTAAGAGAGTGTCAGGTGTTACAGAGTACTAGATAAACGGCCAGATGTCATGGCTTGGGAATGCTTCCTGTAGAACAGCCCTTTTACCTTTTGTCTTGTTTTGAGGAAAAATCACAGAGATGCAGGTAGATGGATGTTTTTAATGAAGTGATGAGGGAGGCCTTGCTGTGAGGAGGTGACAGTGAACCTGAGATTTGTGTCAAGTCTTGAAGCAGGAAGTGCAAGCTCAGATGTGGGCAGGACAAAGATGTGGGGGTGTATGTTGGGTTGGGAAGAGGCTCTGGGTAAAAAGGCTTCTGTTGGGTGGCAGTGTTTAGTGCCATCCAGTCGGTTACGCCGAAGCAGTTGGTGAGCTTGAACTGTCAGCCTTGCGGTTCAAACCGACCTTCTGCCCAGTGCATTAACCCACTGCACCACACCAGGGCAGAGGGCGTTACATTGGAAAGAGAATAAAGAGACCAGTTGGGAGGTATCTTGATTTGATGGTGCAAAAGATTGTTTTTAAAAATGTGGGGTCTAGTGATGGCCAGTCCCTTAGTTTCCATGCATGGAGTGCTGAGTGGGCCAAATCTCCTGTTAGTTATTTTTTTTCTGTGTATGCCATCCATGATTTGATGGTCTTTACTGTTGTAGCCTGACACCTCTCAGATGGTTCAAAAAGACCATGGAGAGTTCATGCTTGCCAATGACATCGGTATTACCCATTCTTCTTTAGCACGGCCTGTATGAGAAGAAGAAAACCTCAAGAAAACAGCGCAAGGAACGCAAAAACCGAATGAAGAAAGTACGGGGGACTGCAAAGGCCAATGTTGGTGCTGGCAAAAAGGTACTGCTCACCAGGGGAAATAGAGTAGAAAAGTCACCGATTGGAGGTCTTAGTTTTTAGAAAAAAGAGGGATTTTGTTTTCATAATAACCTTTCTTAATGTTTCTTCTATTCCTACTTCTGGATTCCAGAAGGTAATGTGTTTTGAGAAGCTACATAGCGTAGTCGTATCTTAACACGTTAGTACAGTAGCTTTGCCCACCGTCTTCAGCTTACAGACTACACACGAGGGCCACATCGGTTCATTTATCCTGGAGGGCTGTCCTCCAGCCCCTACCAGAATTTTTCTTCTCCTGCTAATTGGCGTAGACAATTCAACGGGAGCAGATCTAGCTTCCTGGGATTCGACTTGTTTTCTTAAAATAGACAACTGTTTAATATGCAGTTGAATCAATGTGGCTCATGTTTTCCTGGCATGCTAGACACAGCTGAGATCTCTTAGTTAGCCAAGAGCTAAGTAATTGTAATGATACACAGCTTTTTTTTTTTTTTTTTTTTTACCAGCTTTGCTAGTTAATTGTAAATAGTTGGATGGAATTACGGTGTTGGGTTGCTAAATTAACAAGTAATCAAATGTTCTGTGAACTTCAGTTGTAACTTTGTTTTTGCCTTTTCCCTCTCCTTTCTTGGATTTCTTCATCAGAAATGAGGTGCCTAACAGGTACTGAGATTGTGGGCATGGACTGATCAAGCACCCACAGCACTGTTTGCTTTGATGCTTTGCATGTGGTTTTTGATATCGTTTTCCAGTGTGGTCTGTCACAATGCCAATGCTGTGTCTGAAAATTGCATATTATGACCAAAGGAGAAAATCTTTCCGTCACATTTATTTTAGAATTTCAGAAATGCATGTTTCGTTATCAGTTGACCCAGTAGAGTAAAGTGGTGGGTGCCCTTCCACACTGGCACCTTAACTTGCCTTTGTGGACTGGCCTTGGGGACAGGGCCTACGCACTCAGTGGGGAGCGATGGCTTCTTCCCCTACTAAGCTGACTGTCAGCTTTGCTGATGCTCTCTGTCTGGCAGTATCTAGTCAAAGCCTCTTTTTTTTTTTTTAAATATTTCCATTGCTCTTTGTTACTGAGTCCCCAAGTTTCTATCTGAGGTCCTTTTTTTTTTAACTTGAAATATTTTGGGGCTACTGTTCATAACAAAGGCTTTGATGAACCAACCCACTTGTCCACAAACATTCAGAATGGTGCTTGTGCTGCCCCATTTCATGACGCCGTGGGGTGGGTGGGGGTGCTTTTACAGCGACCCTTCCAGGCAAGGCGGTTGAGTCTGATGTGACATCCTAGAGACATGGAGTTTACAGGAGTGAACTGCCAGTGGAACCGCTTTCTGCTTTTGAGGCACCTCTAGAGATTGAGAAAAGATTTGGTCTAAATTTGTCCTTCCGCCTCGACCTGCTGAAGGGCGTTGGTGACCGGCATGGATGAGTGCTCGCTAGTGCCGGGCTGTTATGACCTGAGCCATGGCGCTCCTGCTGCAGTCTGGCACTGATGAACACTTCCCTAGCACGTGGTGAGGCTCACAAGCCAGGCAGCAGTCATTCAAAACAACAAAAAAACAAAAAACCTTCAGATTTGTTCCGACACCTGTGGGTGCAGCAGAGTGTTTTAAACTAAAGAGCCAATGCTGAGACTAGAGGAACAATCTTAATTGGACTTACTTTTGCTGCCTCACATTCTGATTGCACTACATTTGTGGCTATAATGACTTGAAGTGCTGAACTGAGACAGCCTTTCAAAAGCTTGCTGGGTCATTAAGGAGACCTGGTGACACAGTCGGTTGAGTGTTGGGTGCTAGTAAAAAACCTCTGCAAGAGACGGATGAGCCTATCTGCTCTTGTAAAGATTTGTGGCTAGGTGCCTGTGAGTCCCTTCTGACTCAAGGATTCTCCTGTAAATGATTCCAAGGAGTAGCTGTGGGTTTGAACCACTGACCTTGAAGTTAGCAGTCTAGTGCCACACGGAGACTAAAGTAAAGTTGGATAGCCTCAGAAACCCTTGGAGTCTCTGAGTGCTGTTAGAATGATTATTTAGAGAGCTCCCTTAATAGATGAAGTTACACCCTGGCCTGTAAGGATCCCCAGTTCTGTGGGGCATCAGAGGTGGCACAGGCTCAGGATGGCCTGCCTCATCTACATGGAGGCAATGGCAGCGTGGGTTGGCACCATCATTGGCATAATAAAGATCTCTCCACGCTGAAGTCATCCTACTACCTTGTTTGCATAAGAGCCACAGTCAGGCAAGATGTTCTCAGAATGGGCGAACAAGATCAGTAGAGATGTTTGTTTAACTCTTGGTGTAGAATGTTGCATGCATTTAAGTAGAGCTGACTTTGGTGCTTGAAAGAGACTATTAATGGATTGTTTCTTTCCCCTCTTCCCCCTCCCTTCCTTTGTCCCTTCCCTGCCACTGATTCAGTGAGCTGGAAATTGGATACCAGGTATCATTCAAGCTATTCATTTAGATGACTAGACTCTTGGTTTAAAATAGAGCATGTAAAATAGATGTACAAGTGTTCTGAAGAGTTGTGTCTAAACTACTAACAATGACAATGACATGGTGGTTGTGTGAAATGTTAGTGATATTTAACCCCCTCCATTTTCTTTTTTTTTGTTTTTAAGTTTTATTTTTTGATTGATGTGTATTGCCACAAACATAACTTCATTATAGTTGACTAATATGTTCTGCATGAGTGTCAATAATTTCAGATTTGTAAAAGACTTTGAATTTTTAGTTAAGAGCCAACTAAACTTGTTTTCTTTTTTGATTCACAGAAGGACTAAATATTCTGCTATGACTGGATTTTTCACCAGAAGATAAATAAACCCTAAAATCTTTTGTATGTCTTGTTATTTGAAACACATTTGGAGTTATAAAATTAGTCTGTTGTGTAGGTTTATATTGACATTTAGGGTCACATTTCTGTCCCATGTAGCATTCTAGTGTAGCGTATCAGCGTGGGAACACATGGGGGGGGGGGCCAGTCTTAGAGTGCAGTTGGTTGATTTCTGAAACAGTTTGAAATCCAGGTGTCAGGCTTACAAAAAGGAACCATGTCCCTGGTAGGAGTCACAGCAGGGCAGGGTCCCCGAGGAATAGCCGAGAAGGGACCATCAGGCTGCAGGGTGGCGGCATCTACGGTGGGGGAGGCGCCGTCTCTTCATCTTGGGTAAAGCGTTGGGCTGCAAGGTTGGTTTGAACCTGAAGGTTGGCAGTTCAAATCCAACAGCGCTCCTTGGAAACCCCATTCAGGGTCACTATCAGAGTTGACAGTTAATTAGTACAGGAAATGCCAGTTCCAAGATGAGGTGCCAAGAGTCTGAAGCATGGGGCTTTTTCAGTCACGGGTTCAGAGAGGGGGCTCATGGCAACACTGGGGTTCTGGTGTGCTGTAGTGGGTCAAATGTGCTGGACTGCAATGTTGGTTTGAAGCGCAAGGTTGGCAGTTACAGCTCATCTGCCACTTGGAAACGCCTATATACAGGGTGGCTATGGATGGCACTTAATAATGGCAATCCTGGAGCGAGGGTTGGGCTTCTATGATAGAGTAGAGACGGAGGTTCACATGAAGGGTACAATGTGGGAACCGGGGAGGGACCTCAGGGCAGTTTGCATTGGCTAGTGCCCTTTGGAGAAGGGGGTTCTGATGAACTTTGGGTGGGCCTGGTTCTCAATGTTGACAGGCACTATATTTTAAAACTTGGTTAAGTTTTTCCATAAAGTGAAGACTTACAGCCTGGAACAATAGGAGAATGGTGGGGCTATCAGTCTGACTGGTGGAGAAGGTGAAGGGTGGCCTTGTCCCCTGAGGGTAGGTTTCCCAGGATCCACCCCTACCTGGCCCTCACCAGTCAGCCTTCTGGACTTGGCCCCCCCATCTGTAGGGTGTGTGCTCTTGGGCTGCCCACTTGGTCCCTTGGTTGGTATCCCAAGGGTACCTGTTTTGCTGACTTGACAAGTCTTGTTTTGAGGCTCAAATGAGGGAGCATTTGTGCCGTTTGGAAACAAGTGCTGAACAGCTGACTTTACGATATGAACAATTTTGCCATTGAACTGCAGCTGTTTATAGTGGACTCTCTGAGTTCATTATTTTGGGCTCCTCAGTAACAGTTGCAGTGTTGAGGCAAGTGCTGTTGTAATTTGTAATCTGCAAAATAATCCACATGGTGAGAGTTTTGAGCAGTAAGCAACCTACCGGAAGTCTTGAAGTCTTGTTCATGGAGTTGGGAGTGGAATGCAAATGGATGCCCAAGGCTTATTTGCAGTTTGCATTTTCATTTACTGGATTTCAGAAATTACTGGAATTTGCTGGGGTGTGTACAAGACTCAGTCTGTACCTACTATGTATACTCAGCAGGTTGTCCCAGGATGGTTGTTAAACCTTTGACAACCAGATTCTGGTTCTGAGTGCTTGGGTAACATGCTATCTCTAACGTAAGCCATATTTTCAATTGTTACAAACATGTAAAAGTTGGATAGTAAAGAAGGCAGTGGAACTGATGTGTGCGTTACAGTGTTGAATATTAAGTACCATGTACTGCCAGAAAAACCTGGAGAAAGTACAGCTAGAATGCTCTTCAGCAACCAGGGTGGCATGACTCGGATGCTTCATTTTCAGGAGGGACCAGTCCCTGGAGAAGGACGTTTGGCTTAGTAAAAGATCCACGAAAAAGAGGAAGACCCCCAACAAGATAGACTGGCACAGTGGCAGCAATGGGCTGAAGTGAAAACAATCTTGAGGGTGGTGTAGGATTGGGCTGTGTGAGGTTTGCTGTGAGTTGGAACCTACAGCACCTAAGAAGCACTTAAATCTCAGGAGTTTGAAGTTTACCTCAACCCCAACCTTAGTTTCATGACTTGGCTAGTGTTTGTCCTCACGAGCGAGCCGATTAAATTACATACCAGGAATCCAGAGATGAGATGAGTGAAGGGAGACTGGGTCTTAAAACATTTCAGGGAAAGTAAATATCAATAAGGACAAGACTCAAAA